GGTCAACGGAAGGTGCTGGGAATTTTCAAAACTTTTCTAACTTTGTTATGAGAACTATCAACGGTCCTGTGGCCTACATGGCTTGGCCTCTCTGAGGTAAGTCAGCTTTATCACATTCACTGATGACAGCAGGCCTCTGTCAGAAATGTCCTCTGGGCCTTAGATCAAAGGGTGGAGAGAATGCTGGCCAGGCTGGGAACTGTGGGGGCAATGGCCCAGAGGCCACTCTGGTTGGCATCTATGAGGGCTGGTTTTTATGCTTGGAGAGGCAAGGGTGAAGTGGCAAGACAGTACTCAGATACTAAGCTGGGCTCTGGGGCAGGCCTGGGATTCAGGTTCTCAGTACACAATGTCGTGAACCTTAAATAGGGTCACCTGTCACCCCTGCACTGAGGCACCCTGGCCAGTTTGTGGCGTTCTGTAAATGACCTGACCTTGCACAGCACAGTGATTTGAAGCAACACTTGATGAAAGAAAGACAATTTTTGTGGGGCCACTCACTGCCTCCATCTTCATCACACAGCATGCTACCACATAGGGGGTGAGGAGAGGCAAGAAGGGAGGCGGAACATGTCAGAGAGATGTCAAGCTTTGGCTCCAAGTGAAATAGGGTTGGGCGAGTGAAGGAGTGAGCCATGTGTTGTCTGGGTTACCTAGGCTGCTTCAGTGAAGCCAAGGGCGACATAGGGTGACAAGCCAGCCAACTTGTCACTTGTCTCTTCCCAGCAGATGAGGACATAAATGGGTTGATGGTGGTAAGGGCGGCTGAGGGAAGTCAGCTGATTAGGATGGGAGTCAGCAGGATGGAGGAGATGGACAAAAAGCCTCAGGTGACCATGCTTCAGGTCGAAGCAGCTAGAAGTCGGCTGCCAACAAGCAGAGCTCTACAAGGAGCAAGCGAGGTCTCCCTTTGGGTTTCTGAGTGGACATGGGACAGGAGCTGGGGAGGGACAGTGGGCTGCAGACTCAAACTGCATACTGCTAGTATGTGATAAGGAGAGAGTGCTGGGGCATTCAGGCTGGCTCCTGGATGACTCTCCAGTGGCTTTCCTGGATGTAAGATCTTGCATTCTCCAGTAGCCCCATTCCCTGCCCCTTCCCTGGGTAAGGCTGGATGCCTCAGGAGCAGCCATGCACCCTCCTATCCCTGAGGCAAAGAGCTGACTGATGGCAGTAACCCCTGCAGCTTCCCCACCATTGCAGGTCCAGGAAGTGGCAAGCAAATCCTGATACTGTAACTTTAAGTGGGGGACTCCCCCCCCCCCAGCAACCCTATGTTGACTACCACTAGGCCCTTTAAAGAGGAAATGAAATAGGACTAGGTTGTGGGAGCCACTCTAACTGCTGATAACATGAAAGTAAAAACCGCCTGCCATGAGAACAGAAACAAACGCCGTCCCTGAAACAGATGTGGCCCAGATCAGGGCCCTGGTCCTATTCTCATCGCTGCTGACCCTCTGTGACTTTAAAGTAAGTGGAGAAGCCAGAGAAACGCAGAGTCATGGGGAGGACACAGTGTGGGGACACAGTCACTAACCTTCCTGTCTTCGTTCCTCAGGGAGCCCCGTGGTGTGGGTGCGAGTACAAATGGAGGCTCCCCAAACTCCCATCCCTCTCCCCATCAGTTCGCTGTGGGTCTTAGGAACCAACTTCATCTCTCTGGTAACAGTGAGCTGAGGATTTGTTGATTTGGGGAAGTTTAGGGTAGGGGGTAGGATATGCCAGCCAGGCGGGTCATGTAACAGGTAGGGACTGGGGGATACAGGGAGAACCTGGAGGCCAGGTTCACTTCGATACGTTAAGTTCGTTAGTTTCCACTGCAGCAGCAGCAGCCTGCGTCTGCCTCCAAAGCAAGTGAGCCAGGACCCAGGTGCCTTTCCACGGTGCGACATATGCACCCCTCAAAAGTGCCTGCTTGCTCTTTTGCCTCGCCGTTCCACTCTTTCTATATTCACAATCATTTCTGTCAAGTTAGGAAGGATGGGTTGTATAACCAGGGGAGGGTACAATCTTTTTTTTTTTTTTTTTTGTGGAGCATGTATATAAAACATATGCTCCCTGTCTGTTCGAAGAGCCATCTATAAAATCATGTAACCAATCTCTACAGGATTTTTAGTGGTAATTTTAAGCAATACCCATGAGGCATTTTCAAAATATCTTAAAAGGGGATCTTTTGGATAATGATTATCCATAGATGTGGAGGAGCATGCTTTTGCATCTGCCAGTTATTATCACTGTGGGACAAATAATCAACATGCACTTTGTTTAGTGGCACAATTATTTCTACAGGCTTTTTACCAGTGAGTTGCCTAAGATCTGTCTTAATTTCTTGTAAGTAAAGAATTACAAAGTTATATATAGGAGAACTGTGAATTGTATGAATTTCTACATCTTGTTGGTACATAACATCAGTAGGTGAAGAGGCAGAAAGAAGGACAAGTGATTGCTAAGTGAGGAACTAATTCAATGAACTAAGCAGCATTGTTTAATAAACCAGGAACCCGCTCTGCTCCAGGGATTATTTTTCTAATGGAATTGAACTGAGATACCCCAGAAAGCAACTTAGGGAGCAGAGGAAAAATCCTTCACAGAGTAGGCAGATAAGGACGTTCCCTATTGACATGGCCCAAAACTTGCCATAAGTAAGCAAGGGTGCACCGTTTAGCTGAAAAAATTTTAAGCTGAAAAAATGGCAGTGAAGTTGTTGTTGAGTAATAATATACCCTAAACAATTACAAGGTGGTCGCTTTGTACGAGATGAGGAGCTATGGCTAAATTTTGCTCGTTTGTTTAGTTAAAATGAAAGTTCATCACTCATTTTGGTATTGACTAGACAAGCAGGAGTGGAGAATGCACCCATATGATGACTGACCAAAACTCAGGAGACGTAATTAGCCCAGGCTTACGTGTTTTGTGTCCTAGTTGCAACTATCTGCTAGATGTTGGGCCCATTAGTTTTTTTTCCCCTTGAAGAGACCATTGATCAGTCTATATTGTGTTAATCTATCTGTGAAGAAAAACAAACAACAAACAAATAAATAAAAATTAACCTCTGAAGCAACTAAGCCATATATCAAGGGGCAGAGGAGATCCCCCACACACCCGTGAGCTCCGCATCTTGGACCCAGGTGTTGGATCTGGTCCAGATCTGTGCTCTGCCCGACGAGGTACTGGTTAGGTCCACAGGGCAGCTTGAGTCCAAGGATCTTTGTGCTCCCCAACAATCATTTGGGCACACGTTCCCACTCACTCACTGGGAGCCAGGAGTCTTACCACATAGAAGTACATATGTAAATTTTAAAAATCCTATTTTTTTCACCTGAATTCTACTTCAGCACCTAGGTTATGGAGCCAGCCTGACATCCCCACTTATGGCCATTGCTGCGGTTATTTCCTTGTCCTTCTATTTGATGTCCTGTAATAATAAACACACGGTGAAAGAGTTCACGGAAATTGGAACTGAACACAGTGAATCATCTCCTTTACAATGGGAGGGCCTCTTAAACTTCTGATGCTGTCGAGAGACCTGGATTCATACTTATAGTTCCACAAGAGTCTACACTGTGCAGATCTATCCATGGGACAATTCAAGAGCTACAAGACCCTGACCGTGGGGTTAATCGTTCTGATTTTGGTGAGTACTTTCCTGGCCTCTTATTGGCATCATTATTGCTTCTCTGCGTTTGGATTGGTTAAGTGCTTTAACATTGGAGAGTGAACTGAGGGAACCTCTCATTCTTCCTCCTCCCACCTCTGAGAGACATCTGGGAGCATCAGCTGCAGGGGAGACCATCATCTACTAAGAAGCAGTGTGAGCAGCTGTGTGTTGGTGTCATCAGGGAATCTAAAGTCAGGAAGTCCCCAAGGAGAAAAATTAGGAGTGAGTCTATGGACTTTAGTTGGGAAGAAATGACCAGATGTTTGCTTCCCCTAGGTAGGGCAGTGCCAACAGACAAAAGAACAATTCTACCCAAGTCTAGATAGCTTAATAAGGGGGTTTATTGGGCTTACTTAAGGAGCACACATAATCTCCAAACAACCACATCAACAAATGGGCTCCACAAACAACTTCCCTATAGCTGCATAAATGGAGCTCTCCCTGCTCCAGCTGCCACCTTCTGCATGTCCTAGCACCTCCAGACACCGTGAGAAGCTGGAGCAGAACTGCAGAGACCTGGAAAAGGTTCAGGGTGGGGGCAGCTGAATTCCAGGGGAGGATCTAATGACCCTCTTCCACAGGCAAAAGTCTAGAGAATGACTGGCCCTTGTTGAGGCTGGCTTGCCTGTCATCACAGTGGCTCTGATGGAGATGGTCATGGCCCTGTTCCACATCAGCAATTCGAGTTCTCAGTTCTCTTGACTTTAGAAGTTGTTCTCTCTGTCCCAGTTTAAGAGAACAAAGCCTTTTTGTGTCTGCTTCTGTTTTTAGCCTGGAGGGAAATAAAGTCAGGGAACAGAAAAGGTCTTGTACACACACACACACACACACACACACACACACACACACACAGGACTGGGTGAGTAAAGGGGTCAGTGAGAGTGATAGAATGAGTGACAAGAACGGGGGTGAATGTGGTCCGTATGCATTGTATATGTGTATGAAACTGACACCGTAAATAAGAAAGAAATTAAACCCTTCCTGGAGCAAAAGCAAGAAAAAGAGACCCAGTGTTTCCTCTTTGAAGCTGTGTACAAGAAAAAGTCTAGAGTGTTTGGGAGGAGGTTCTTCCTGTCTGTCTGTTGAAAGTGAAATTTTAGGTCACGGGATGTTGTTATTGATATTTAAGCAGCAAGGTTTTTTGGGGGGTTTTTTGGTATGAAAGTGTAGGTTTCTTACCTTATCTAGAAAATGTATGATTTGAAATACGAGAAGACAAATCGGACATGTTTCTGAGAGAAATAAAAGAGTGAAAAGGGTTAAGAACAAAATGAATTCCTTCTTTCCAACAATGTTGTTTCTGGCTTCACTTCCATAGCAATTTTGTGTTGTGTGCCCTCCCTTCAACCTTTGCACATCTTTGCAGATACTGAAAGGAGTCACACTGTGACATATATCCAATGTCCAAAGAGGTTAAAGACACATGTCTACGTGACTATAACCCAGGCAAGCCGGAAATGGTAGCCTTCCATATGGAGTCCCAGACTTTGGGAGGCAGAGAAAGAGAATTATGAGTTGCAGGCTGACCTATGGAACAAGCTCCAGGCTAGTTCCTAAGACCTGTCTTAAAAAGGCCCAAAGAAAGGGGAGAACAAACATAAAAGCAATCACTGTAGCACACGCAGTTCAGAAGGACTTCCCTCTCCCTGGATCTACGGCTGTTTAATGGACTCTGTGGGGAGAGGAGGCGATTTCCTTCAGCGGTGGAGCCATTGGGAAGTTGTCTATGCACTTGTTAGTCACCTTAAATAAACTTGGGCTGTTCTGTGTTGTGTGAAGAAAGAGGTCGGTTACTCCAAGATGAATTTTTAGGCCTGTGTGGCAGCAGGCAGGTCCAGCCTCTGATGGACTGTGTAGAAAGGGTTCTTTAAAAGGGGTCTCTATTACCCTTTTCTGTTTATTAATCATGTTTTTGTTTATTAAACATTTCTTTTAGGGTGAGATTAGATCTTTCTATAACTGCTTTCTCTGTAGGATTGTGTGGTATACCTGTAATATGCTTTATGTTGTAATATGCAAAAGCTATCTCATTTTACCAGAGACATATGCTGGAGCATTGTCAGTCTGTCGCTATGATGGCCATAACTTCTAATAAACGTATAATTACATAATCAGACTTTACAGAACTTAAAGCAGTTTCCCATTGAAATCCTGAGTATGTACCCATGGTGTGTCATGCACATTTCAGTTTCCCAAAATCAACAAAATGAAACACGTCCATTTGCAAATTCCATTTCTTCATGTACCCTTTGGGTTACTTCCTGCAGGTAGGGGAGTTTGGTTATAAAAAGAACAAATAGAACATTTCCTTGTAATTTCCATGCTTGTTGCCAAGTGATAAGAAAATTCTTTTTCAAACCTTTGCTATTAACATGCTGTTTCATATGAAATTCTGAGGCTTCTAGCACATTTCCTACCAATAGCTGAGCAATTTGATCATTACCTTGTGCAAAGGGCCTGGTAGACCTGTATGGGATCTGATAAGTGTTATGTATAAGTGATGATTTCTATTTCTGATTATTTCTTGTAATTGAACAAATAACGAAGTTAATTCTGAACCATCTGGAATAAATTCAGCATTTTCAAACTGTAAAACAACTCTGCATATTGAGAGTCAGTAACTGTATTAAGAGGTTCTGGAAAAATTTAATAATACCCATGAGAATAGCATATAATTCTGACTTTTGAACTGAATCATAAGGGCTTTGAGTCATTTTACTTAAATTTCCTGACTTATAGCCTGCTTTTCCTGATTTATTTGCATCAGTCTAGAATGTAGGGGCTCCAGAAATTGGTGTTTCCCATACAATGAGAGAAAAGATCCAGTTAGTTCTCTTTATAAACTAAAGTCTCTTACTTTTTGGATATTTGTTGCTAATCTCTCCCAAAAAAATGACTGCAAATTATTTGGCAAAGTTCATTTTCCGTCCATAATGAGAAGTTCAGCATTAGTAAAAAGTACCACAATTTCTGCTGGGTCTACTCCTGTCAATTGGCAAAGTCTCAAATTTCCTTTCGGAATCAGTTCAGAAACCTTTTCTACATAATTTTTTATGTTTAATTTTTCACTCTGTTTTTTATGGCAAAGAATATCCATTCTAAGATATTTCTTCTCTCTGCATTAAAATTCCAGTGGTAAACTGTGTAGAAGGTAAAACAACCACAATACAATCAAGCTGTGGATCCAAACGATCCACATGGGCATCCTGTAATTTCTTTTCTACCAAAATAAATTCTCTCTCAGTCTCAGCTGATAATTTTCTTGGGCTATTTAAATCCTTATCACCTTGAAAAGTTTGAAATAAATAACTTAGTTCTTGAGTTGTCAACCCAATTGCGGGCCATAGCCAATTAATATAGCCCAGCAAATTTTGAAAATCATTAAGAGTTTGTAACTGATCTCTCCTGATTTGTACTTTCTTTGGTTGAATTTTTTGTAAAACCTATCTTACATCCTGGGTAATTAATAAAATCTCCTCTTTGTATGTTTTCATGAGCAATTTGTAATTCCCAACAAGGCAAAAAAATTTTCTTTACTTCTTCAAACATTTTCTCTGAGGTATCTGCATCTTAATCAGCTAGTAAGATATCACCCATATAATGGTAAATTATAGATTGAGGACATTGATTATGAATTATTTCCAATGACTGCTGTACAAAGTATTGGCATAAGGTGGAGTTGTTTAACATTTCTTGTGAAAGAATTTTCCATAATATCTTTTAACAGGCTGGGAGTTATTATATGTAGGCACTGGGAAGGCAAATTTTTCTCTATCTTGTTCCTGTAAAGGTATAGTAAAAACAGTGTTTTAAGTCAATCACTATAATAGGCCATTCTTTAGACAACAGAAAAGGCAGGGGAATTCCAGACTGTAAAGAGCCCATTTGCTGAATAATCCTATTAAGGGCTCTTAGATCTGTTACCAGTCTTCATTTTCCAGATTTTTTTTAATGACAAATATAGGAGAATTCCAGGGGCTGCTCGATTCTTCTGTGTGCTAAGCATTTAGCTGCTCCTGTACCAGCTGTTCTAAGGCTTGTAATTTTTTTGGTGTCAGAGGCCATTGTTCCACCCAGACAGTTTTGTCAATTAACCATTTTAAAGGTAGAGCTGTTGGTACCTTTAAAAGATCAGCAGCTATTCAGTTCAGTGCCCCATTTTTTAATTGGGTTAATTAGCATTTTAAAGTCTAGTTTCTTGAGTTCTTTATATATTTTGGAGATCAGACCTTTGTCTGTTGCGGGGTTGGTGAAGATCTTCTCCCAGTCAGTAGGTAGCCTTTTTGTCTTAATGACAGTGTCCTTTGCTTTACAGAAGCTTCTCAGCTTCAGGAGGTCCCATTTATTCAATGTTGCCCTTAATGTCTGTGCTGCTGGGGTTATACATAGGAAGCGGTCTCCTGTTGTAGAGTACTTCCCACTTTCTCTTCTATCAAGTTCAGTGTGTTCAGATTGATATTGAAGTCTTTAATCCATTTGGACTTGATTTTTGTGCATGGTGATAGATATGGATCTATTTTCATTCGTCTACAGGTTGACACCCAGTTTTGCCAGCACCATTTGTTGAAGATGCTTTCTTTCTTCCATTGTATACTTTTAGCTCCTTTATCGAAAATCAGGTGTTCATAGGTTTGTGGGTTAATATCCGGGTCTTCTATTCAATTCCATAAGTGTACTTCTCTGTTTTTATGCCAATAGCAAGCTGTTTTCAGTACTGTAGCTAATTCTCAACAGAAGAAGTTCAAATGGCCAAAAGACATTTAAGGTCATGCTCAACCTCCTTAGTGATCAGGGAAATGCAAATCAAAACAACTTTGAGATACCATCTTATACCTGTCAGAATGGCTAAAATCAAAAACACTAATGATAGTCTTTGCTGGAGAGGATGTGGAGTAAGGGGTACACTCATCCATTGCTGGTGGGAATGCAAACTTGTGCAACCACTATGGAAAGCAGTGTGGCGGTTTCTCAGGAAA